AGCAGGGAGGGGATGGAGCCTGGCAGGAGTCCCCCCCATGGTCCTGTCCCCCTTCCCAGCCCCCTACTTACCAGCACAGAGTCCAGGTCCAGCATCCTGTGGCAGTGAGCAGGGACTGCCCAGATCTCCAGAGCTCTCCGAATCTTTTCTGAATCGATTCAGAGAGCCTCAAATCAATTCCAACCTCTTAATGGGTCTCCTGATTTGATTTGGATTCAGAGATTCGGCCGCCGAATGGACTGAATCTCCTCCGAATTGAAGCAGCACCTGAAGCTTCTCACAGCCCTAGCTCACAGATGTCCATCAGTGTCATCCTGGGACAGATTCTGCCATCCCTCCTCTGAACTGTCCCCAGCTCCTGGTGATTTCCCGGGTGCCTCTGGTTCTGGTCTTACTGATATCCTCCGTGTTTTGGTCACTTCTAGGTTTGCTTCCCCTGCAGTGATCTCTGGACCTTGAATCCACATGGAACCTGAGGCTGAGCATGGTTTCTTGTTGCAAGCATATTGTATTAGTGCTGTAGGACCTACGCTGGCTGTTGTTGACTTTCCTGGGTGGCGCTGTTGACTTAATCTTGCTTGAGACTTGCCTGTTTGAGAGGGCATCACTTATGATGAGCAGGAAACCTGGGAGTTTGCAAGTACCTCATTTTAAGAAGCTGTCAGCAGAGCACTATCTGTTTAGGGCCCACTGGCTTTGAAACTTGTGTCCTCCACACTTACACAGTGGTCCAAAATAGGACAAAATAGTAACCTTTCCACTGCAAATCCCATGTGTGTGCTCAGGCTTTTGGAGAGGTGGGATCTAGATGAGGGTCAGTAATTCAGGGAAAGGCTCATGGCATCATGCTATTTCAGGCGTACCATCTTGAATGTTTTTTGCTATGGACTTGACGTTTTGCTGCTAAGTGTATTTATATATTGGCTAAAAGGCACTTTAAAGGTGTCATGGTGGCTTCTAGGACCAGTGATGAGTGCTTTCCCCTTTTCCTTATAGTTTCATAGTTTCTAGGGTGGGAAGGGACCTGGGCAGATCATCTAGTCCGACCCCCTGCCATGGCAGGAAGAGCACTGGGGTCAAATGACCCCAGTAAGGTGGTCGTCCAACCTCCTCTTAAAAACCCCCAGGGTGGGAGCCTGCACCACCTCACTTGGAAGCTGGTTCCAGACTCTAGCCGCCCTGACCGTGAAGTAGCGCCTCCTGATATCTAACCTAAACCTTCCCTCCGCCAGCTTGTGACCATTGTTCCTGGTCACTCCTTGCGGCGCTCGGGGGAGCAGGGACTCCCCCAGCGCCTGCTGATCCCCCCTAACCAGTTTATAACAGGCCACAAGATCCCCCCTCAGCCTTCTCTTGTGGAGGCTGAACAGGTTCAGGTCCCGTAGCCTCTCCTCGTAGGGCCTGCCCTGCTGTCCCCTGATCATGCGAGTGGCCTCCTCTGGACCCTCTCCATGCTGGCCACATCCCTCCTGAAGTGCGGCGCCCAGAACTGGACGCAGTACTCCAGCTGCGGCCTGACCAGTGCCGCATAGAGGGGGAGGATCACCTCCTTGGACCTGCTCGACATGCATCTGTGGATGCACGACAAGGTGTGTCTGTATCTTGTGTGTCTTTAATGTCTGTTTCTATTTTCATCCTCCTGACACCCAGTACAGTTGGGGCATGCTGTTCTCTCCAGTTCGCAGAAGAAACTGAAATCACACAGGAGCCTGGGTAGAGCTACAAACCTAGGTCTCCCTGAGAGCCCAAACTGGCACCCTAACCACTTGGCCAACTTTCATCTCCTAATGATAGAAAAATCACAATTTATAATAATAAATATCAGGTTTAAAACAGTTTCTCTTATATTGTGTGTTACAGAAAGAACAGGTGACTCCCCCCCCCCCCCCGAATTCATTGCTTGGCCATGCCTAGTAGGAGTGTTTTTACATTCATTAGTCGTCACAAGGTTTTCCTGTGCCCCTTTAGAGCCCAGAGCAAGATGTGGGCTCTGAGCATTGCCAAGATCAGCAGACAGTTGGGCCGCTTCTGGAGCATGGGATACTTCCAATTTCAAGAGGACGTAAAGCAGAAGAAAAGAGACCCAGGGGAAGTGAGAGAATGCTTGTAAAGCAGCAAGAGAGAGGGGCCTGGGGCTTCAGAGTCAGGGTCCATGCACTTTACATGCTTGCTCACCTCTGGGACTCTCCTGAACAACAAAGACAATGACGTTAGCTTCTGCCAGGCTATGCTTAATGGGCTTTGTGATAATGCTGTAAAGTTACTGGGACTGGGGAGTGAAGCTGTTTTTTACATTCCTTCATACGATGAATCAAATTCAACCAAAAACAGACATCAAGCTAGCTTGTCTCACGAGCCGCGGAGGGCTGTAGGAGTATCTCTCTCTCCCCTTCTCTCTGAGTAGAGTCATGCTAAATGTTAAGGGGTCCCCTAAATTCATCCAGATTCATTGTTACTAAACAAAGCATTTTGTTCGGAGTCTCTAGGACACTCAAAGTAAGGAGAGTGAGGAAGATTATGACTGGAGAACGCAGCCATTTGAACCAATGCCATTTTCAAGCATAATCGTAGGAGGCATTGGCTCTTGATATCGATCGGTAAGTGATAGCCAAGCGCTGGTTACTTGGAGTCGCCAGATCAAATCACTGAGAAGTGCAGTAGGAGAAGAGATATTACAGTGAGGAAAAAAATCAGCCTTTGAGAGAGAAGAGTTTTGGATAGGTGGAAGGAGTAGTAAGGGGAAAAATTAAAAAAAGGCTTCCTGACTGTGGGTAAACAGTAACCACATTTTTTTTTTTTTTGCCTGTTGGAGGCCTGGTTTTTAATCACCCCACAAGCAGTTTTCATTTCTGTAGTAAAATTGCTTGTGGTTCTATTTAATTTGTTTCTGCAGGAGCCAGCTTTGGTGAAGATCTCCCAGGAGCTGCCGGGCCTTTTAGCACAGCACGCACAGCCAGTCAATGAGAAACGATTCCCTACATGGGAAAAATTCCTCCAAACATTTCTTAGTCAAGGTAAATAAGACTGCAGAGTTGCTGTTAAGTGTTATAAGGAGTAATTATACCATATTGTATGCCAGGTTCTTGTTAATCTTGGACCTGCTTAAATATTTCTTTCCTTTAATTTCCCCATTATGTTCATTTAAAAATAAAATATAGGCAGTATTATTCTTTTGTCCTGCCCAAGTATTTGTAATATTTGAGAGTACCTCTCCTGTACCAAACTGAGCACAGAAGACCCAACTCTTTTACTCTTGTATTGCTATAGTGGAGCTTATGGTGCACTTAATTACCTTCCTGCTGATCTCTCTTATTATGTGGATCTGTGGCACCCAAAATTTTTAAGTGCAGGATGAATATCCCACCAGACTTGAAAGAAAGTTGCATATAGTGTTAGATGCCTAAACCACTTATGTCAGGCGTGACCTGAAGAAGGAAACTTGTGCTCAAAAGCTTATCTAACATCTCTCCCAACTACACAGTTCAATAAGAGAGCACCAGAAACAACCTTACTTGTTGCATATTTCCTGGACCATCATGGCTACAACAACACTTCAACACGTCTGGTGGAAGGAGCCCCACAGTTTTGTTAGATCTGATAAACTTCACAGATTTTGGTATTGTAGAGTCAAAGGTATATCGGTATCTCCACCTGAAAGTATTTCAGAAAAATAATACCAGATGTTGCATTTGGGAATGGATTGAAAAATATTATTCTAGCTGGATCAAATACAATATAATATGTAACTGTAAGACAACCCCAAAACGCTGAATAAACCTGGGTATGCATTTCTAGTAAATAGTTTGCTTGTTGTTGTTCTTTAGAAGATATTCCCTTTATCTCCTAAGTGATGCAGTGGGAGCTACCACTGCAGTTCCTATTAAATTTATTTATTCAAGCACTACTTGCAGTGATGTTTGAACACAATAGGTGTCGGGTGGTTGAATTCTGTGAGACTCTGAAAATAGTGGTTTATGAATTCTGTGATTAGTTTGACAGCAAATTCATTTCTCTCTAGGCGGCGTGATAGAAGCCTTTCCACCCTCCGAAAATGTCACCAACCTTACTGTGGATATGCTAATAGAGCCAATGGGAGAGATACGAATGGTTTCATCTGGAGACCAGATCCACGCTGACGGTCCCTTGCAGTCATCTGGCACCACTGTCCCACAGTGCTCCGTTGATCCAGCGGTTCTTAATTCGCTGTGCTTAAAAATTGGAGAGGCTTGCCAATCTAGGGAGGTGCTTGGGTACTTCTCGATTGACTTTGTAACTTTCATCCATCCACAAACAATGGAGCAACAGGTGAGTTGGGCAGAAATAAATGACCCCTTTGTGTATGAGAATGATCGAGGAATGTGTGATGTTCCCACCAGGCTCTCCCAGATGACGCAAAAAAGCTAATGAGTGTTGTCCTTCTGGGAAAGTCTGGTTTCTAAGCAGTGAACCATGTATGTGGAGGTAGGTTCCTTTAGTAACAACGTAAAGGTGAGGTTCTGTCCTAGCTAATTATGGCAGGAAGAATTTTCATCATCGGCAAAGTAATGACTCGCGTGTGTATTTGTACCTAAGCAATGCATGTGGGGCATCCTTGTGTGGGGAGGAAACTAATATCTGAAACCAGTTCCAGAAAACCAAGTGTATTCTGATAATAATAAATGATGGTTTGAAGGGTTTGGGGGAGACGCTGTTTCCCCTAGCGCCCGCTGGCATAACAAGGAGTAATGGGCACAAGTTGATGGAGAGGAGGTATAGATTGGACATCCGCAAAAACTACTTCACAGTTAGGGCGGCTAGGAGCTGGAACCAACTTCCAAGGGAAGTGGTGCTGGCCCCTACCCTGGGGGTCTTTAAGAAGAGGCTGGATGCCTACCTGACTGGACTCATTTGAGTCCCGTTTTTTGTTTTGGGGTTTTGTTGTTCTCCCGCCCTGGCGGGGGGTCGGGCTAGAAGATCTACTAGGTCCCTTCCGACCCTAAATCTATGAAACTATGAAACTATGGTTTCGTGGTCAGAGCTGCAGGTGAGGAGACTTGGTCCCTATTTTCAGCTCTGTCACAGAAAGGCCATGTGACCTGGGGCCAAATCACCCAGCTTCTCTGCACTTTCATTTCTACTAGTAAAGTGGGACTAGTAGACCTGCAGAGACTTCTTGTGTGTTTAACTGCTTTAATATCTGTAAAGTGTTTTGAGTCCTGGGGAGAGAAGCTGCTGTGTAATATATTATTTATGGAAGACACCAGACAGATAGACCAGGTATTGAAATCCACAGATCGGGGACTGTGCAGGCAGTGCCTTGCCACCTGGCACCTCTTTCAGTCACCCTTCGAGTTCAGTGCAAGGCCCTGCAACCGATCCAGTTCTAACGGGCTTTGTGATGTGAACTCTGTCCATTACTGATCTAACCCCCACCAGGTCTCTGCCCAGAAGTGTTTGGACAGTGGGTCTGAAGCACCATGTTAATGTACCAGTTTCTAAGCCCATTCCCTCTTTAGTCCACTGGCTTAATTTTGTAGTATTAAAAGATTAGCGATCTTGGCTTGAAGAGTGTGCCCACCCTCTAGACATTTCTGCTGAAGTGATCAACAGATAAATAAATAGTGCTGCAGACATCTCAAGTCAGATCACTAGGCTTTTCTTGAAGTGCTTGTCCCTGTGTGCAGTCTACTATTTGTTTTGCTTGTACCCAAGACTAGAGGACTTGTGTTAGCAGCACCTTTTAGGTCCATGCATGAAGCCTTGCTCTTCTGTGCTGAGAGGATGCAGGGTGGCATGAGACCAGCCTGCACTTCTCATTGCCCTTGGCCTGAGACACCGCATCGCTTCTGCACTTTTAGTGTAGCACTTCACTTACCTTGTAAGATCTTATGTGGCTAATAGGTTGTGCATAGTTTGTTCAGGATATTCTAGGGGAGTTGGAGAGAATTAGGTGTTAATAAAGCTTCCCTCACAAGGCTGTGCTAATTTTGCAATCTGTGAGCATAACTGATGACCACCGAACTTGTTTGTGCAAGTAAGGAAGAAACATGCCCTGTTGAAGTGTGAGATCTCCTAACCACTTCCACAAACCCACTGTGTAAGTGCTGCCTCACTTTGCCTGTCGACCTGGGAAGGTCACGCTGCCTCTCTTTATTCCATGCACGTCTTGAATCTCTTCCTTGCAAACTGAAAAGCTGCAAACCTAATGTTTCAGAAGCTCGGATTCTGCTGCACATTTCTGCAGCAAGAGGGTAGATTCTCTGGCTAGAGATAGGGCCCTGGCAAAGGTGCTTACCCCTTCCCAACTGCCTAAAGCCAATATCTTGAACTTTGCACCACATCCTGAAAGTCGGTGCACTTGTGCTGTGACCAGTTGTTGGAGTGAGCTTCAGAATAGGATCTTAAATATGATCACACACCCTCAAGATCTGAGTACCTGAAGGCTGGTGCCAGAGTATCAGCTGATCTCAGCTGTTGCGATGATGGGTGCAGAGAAAGGTGGCTCTTTCAGGAAGTTAGAGCGTCATAGACTTAGATTTCCAAAGGCAACTTTCTGAGCAACATCTAGAAGCAAATGTGCTGGGAAGCCAGAGTACCTTTTTGGAGCACTGGTCCACCAACAGGAGGCAGAACTGAGCAAATGGGGTGGATGCGAGATCACCAGGCAGACGTCTGCCCGACCAAGTCCTTGGTCTGGCTGAGTAATGGGAACTTGTAACAAGGTAAAATTGGAACCACTCAATTGACCTTAGCTACCCCTGCCGTAGTCTGCAAGTCTGTCAGCAAAACTTCAGTCAGCTACATTAAAGACATCTGACAAGGCAAAAAGTGATATAATAAATCAAGCAGGGAAAGTGTAGGGTCCAGAACACAGTGCTGCCTACAGTGGATGAAAGAGCACAAACGGTTGGGGCTACAGTCTCTTCTCGACCCTCAGAGCAGTCACCGGTGTACGGGAGCACTGGGGAAACCACAGGAGCTTGGATGTCCCGAGGCAGCAAACTCGCACCCCACCAGGTACAGGTGAGCTACCCTCCTTTTTGCACATTTTTGCAGTGGGTCTGAACCAGCAGATAGCAAAGGAATGGTTTGCAATGTGTGCTGAGAACGGTCCTTCTCTTTTTTTAAACTTCAGTAATTTTGTAGTTCTTCTGCAAGGGCTCACAGTGCAAACATCCCAGCTAATTTTACTCACAACCTTCACTTATAAGCAATGCTTCCATGCTAAGTCTTGTTCCATATTTCTTTTCTTTTCCTTCTGGTCAGGATGTGGCTGATCAGCCTTGGCAGCATCATGTGACAAACTATTGATCTCCTCTTGTGCTGCTGATCTCATCCTCTGGCTTTTGTTCCATGTATAATGTTGGCGCTCTCTGTCCTAATGTGATCTCATAAATTCTTCCATCATGCAGACACCCTAAAAACCAAATTCAGAATAGTCTGAGCGTGTTATTCTTTAAAAGAGAGGAAATTGGGTTATTCGTTTGAAAGGTGTTTTGAGATGTAAGGATTTTGGAATTTCACAACATGCCAGCAAGGGGCAGTTATAGGGGTTGAAAAGTAATGATGTGGCTAGTATACAAGGTTTTCTAATGCCTATTGTACCTATACAAGGTACTCTAGTGCCTATTGCTTACAAATACATGCTTTCAGAATTGGGGTATGTATCCATCCATATACTAACACTGGATCCCAATTAAACTAAAAATCTCGGAGCCTGTGCCTGGTTACCTCCCAAACTGCTGGCGTGTCTCCCTGTCAGCGGGCTGCTTTGCAATTAACTCTTAAGTGTACAAACATTTAATTATCGAAGCAAGTTTGTTGTCTCCCAAGGGGGCTCAGATTAGGACTTGTAGCAAGTGCCAGTGCATTTATTAATATGTGTAGTTAATCAAGCAAGCTGTGCATTATGGCTGGGCTTTTCAAAGGAGCCTGCGGGAGTTGTGCCCCAGTCTGTTCAAGTCTGCCTTCCTTGAGCTTCTTTGAAAATCCCAGCCTGTGTGTGTTGTGTGCGGGGGAGGAGAAAAGACCTAAATAGAGGAGGCATATTTTAAGCCCTGTTGGAGGCATCTGTTGGCAAAAGAGGTCATATTAGAGACCGCTGGTGTTACAATTACATTGAAACTGAGATATCTGATGATGAAAATTAATCCTGAACGGGAGACCACTAGAAATATCTGACCCAAAAAATGTATTTACAGAAGAGACATGAGTAAACTGTGGATGATCCCCCCATAAAACTTCCAGTCTATGGAAGGGGGCCATCCCAGCCTCGTCGGGGTTCTGCCATTGACTTCACGGGAGCCAAGACATTTCACCCACATACACAAGCATGTCTCAGATTATAATAATGCCGTGACACATACTCTGCCATAAACCAGGCAACAAAATGAATCGGCGCTGCCTGTAGCTCTTATTATCCCTGTCTTTCTTGCCTCATTCTCCTTCCCTTTCTTCCCATTGATTGTACCTTAATATTTCCCGTGTTTGTCAGCTTGCACCACAACTTTAGCATTATTTAAGCACAGTTTTTTAAACTTAATTAGATATAGAGGCAATTAATGAAGCCATCTGTCTTGTTGTGAGAGAGAGATTACACAAAAGATTGTGCTTCTGAAAGCACTATTTTTTGGCAAACAAGAAATCCTATTAGGCTCTGAGAACATTCTTACACTAATTTCAGAAGTGCCCATTTTAATGTAGTAGCTGAGAGGCTGGAATAAATTTTCTGGAAGTACTGTATGCCTTGGCATCCTTTCAAAGTTATATTTTACAGAAAATATCAAATGATCTATTGTATTTTCAGCAAAACAAAAAATTAAATATATCATTGAACATCTGTTACCAGTACAGTCTAGTATTTAAATACTTTAAAATCCCTGAAACCTTCATAAAGATATAAGCATCTTTTATATAAACATGGCTCTGTAAGCAACCTGAAGAGCCAGATTTTCAGCTGAGGCTTAATTGGGTGCAAATAGGCACACACTTTGCACATGCGCAAGAAAACCCTGCATTTCCTCACTCAGGAAACACATCTCCATCTTCCCCAGCATTTACCTTGGGTGCATGTCTGCAATGAATGCTTTACAGGCACACAACAGGTGCACCTGTATTTTTTGAAGTTCTGAAATGTTCCCTTCTGAGAACCATTTACAAGCCATATTTTTCTCTTCTAAGCACGATATAAAATCTTTTGCTTAAGTTTTCTGGGGGTTTAGCATTAGCAAAGGATTTCTGTGCAAGCTCCACATTTTGCCATATTGTTATGCATCTCATTTATGCTGCCCCTGCATTGAGTTGTAGTAGCAGCCAGTCGCAAACAG